CCTCCGCGTCAGGGGTTGCTTGGGTATAAAGTTCAACTCTATGAATGCCAAATATGCGCGTCAGCAAAGACAAGGGGGTACTGAGGATGTGGTCAATGTATGCGGGGAGGATTCTGCAGAAAAACAAGGGTTTAGGGTTTAGGGTTTAGGGTTTAGCGTTAGGGTTTAGGGTTAGGGGTCAGGGGCTGGATGCAGAAAGAGGTTTAGGGTTTTGGACGCCAGCAACTCCCCTACTGAGTCCTGGGGAGGACAATGCTGCGAGAGAGAAACCCACCATTCCATCGTTAGGGTTTAGGGTTTAGGGTTTAGGGTTTAGGGTTTACCGCAGTATTTGCTCCACTTCGGCCTTTGAAATTGTCTTTATAAGAAACTTGCCGTCGTGGGAAAAAAAGAAGAACTGCCCGCTTTTGCTGCAGCGCAAACCCCTCGCAAACCCTAAACCCTAAACCCTAAGCCCTAAACCCTAAACCCTAAACTCCAACTTTGTGCCTTTTGACCCTTTCCTCCAATTTCCACCTAACTGCCACTGCTGCATTCTTCTCCTTCTCACAAATCCAACAAATAAATAAACAAATAAATAATAAAACAAATATATAAAAAATAAATAAACGAAATAATAAAATAAATAAAATAAATAAATAAATAGAATAATTAAATATTTGTTTTCGTGGTTTTACCTGTTGGAGTGAAACTCCATAAAGGAGAAGTCCGTAGAGCACAAACTGGATCTGTATTCCTAAAATTAAAAAAAGACGAAAAATAAATAAATAAATAAATAATAAACAAATAATATTTAATTAGAAATAATTATAATAAATAATAAATATTATTAATTGTTTTTGTTCTGTTGAAATTATTTATTAAATCGTTTATCTGATTGGTCGAAAAAATAAGACCCCTAAACCCTCGTAAACCCTCGCAAACCCTCAAGGCCCTTATAAACCCTCCTAAACGCTTATAAACCCTCCTAAACCCTTCTAAACCCTGCCAAGCCCTCCTAAGTCCTCCATATTCCCCTCTAAACCCATAACATCCACAAACCCTCGTAAACCCTCGCAAACCCTCGTAAACCCCCCAAAACCCTCGTAAACCCTCGTAAACCCCCCAAAACCCTCGTAAAACCCCCAAACCCTCGTGAACCCCCGTAAACCCCCAAACCCTCGTGTCTCCTCGTAAACCCTCGTAGATCCCCCTACTCCCTCGTAAACCCCCCAAACCCTCGTAAACCCCCGTAAACCGCCCAAACCCTCGCAAACCCTCGTAGACCCTCGTAAACCCCCCAAACCCTCGTAAACCCTCGCAAACCCCCCAAACCCTCGTAAACCCTCGTAAACCCCCCAAACCCTCGTAAACCCTCGCAAACCCCCCAAACCCTCGTAAACCCTCGCAAACCCCCCAAACCCTCGTAAACCCTCGTACACCCTCGTGAACCCCCCAAACCCTCGTAAACCCTCGTAAACCCCCCAAACCCTGGTAAACCCTCGTAAACCCTGGTAAACCCCCAAACCCTCGTAAACCCTCGGACATGTTCGGGAACTCCCGCGACTTCTCTGGCGCATTCGAAGGCGTCGGGGGCCAAGTCTTGAAAAGCAGCAACAAGACGAGGCGGCAGCAAAGGGGCGCAGTGGAACTCGAAGCGACGCAGCTGCAGCAGCAGCGGCTCGTCCAGCAGAAACCCTAGCTGCAGCAGCAGCAGCAGCAGCAGCGGCAGCAGC